ATAGCTCGGCTGTCTGAGTGCCTGCCTAGCAAGCGCAAGGATCCAGGTTTGATTCCTAGCACTGCATGCTGTGCTGGCCCGGGTGTGCCATGCCTGCTCCTGAAACTGGGCGTGAGTACACCTGTAATCCAAGCATTGGGGAGGCTGTGACAGGAGAATCACTATGAGTCTGAGCTATGTAGTGAGACCCTGTACCAAATAAAAGAATAATAAAAAGAATTAGACAAAGCCTTACCTTCCAGGCCAGGGAACCAAAGACTTATGTCTGTAGTGGCCAGCTCACCTCACCATGCCAGGCCACACCACACCACTGCTCTGCTGAAAACATCTTCCTGCACCAGTAAAGGACTAGAAAAAGGCCAAGTTGAGTATAACAAAGGACAGTTGAGGAAAACTGGACAGTTACTATGAGGAGCTAAGGGGGCTTCCGCACAGGAAGTCCCCAAGCTCTTGTCCCTAGCTCCTTTTATTGGGTGCTAGTGTCTTTCCTACCCCCTCAGTGGGCACTTGTCAGTATCTGATCTGTTGCTTTGACTGTCTTTGTTCCTCACCAAGGCCTTGTGGCCATCTGGTTTCTTCCTGTCTCTTTGTGATGAATCAGGGAAGGGGGAGGGCCTATGGGGAAGACAGTTTACTTACTGATTATGTAAAGGTAATGTGTGAGTGTCTGTATCTGGTGCAGTATTATATTGATGTTAAGGTGAGAACATACAGACGCATGTATGCGCAGGTATGTGTGCATTTGTGTCTTACATTTTAAAAAGTCCTTAGGCGGCTGTCCCTTATCACCCTTTCATTTTGTCAGGTGGATGAGGGGAGCTGGCTTTCTTGGTAATTGTGTTACTGGACCTCTTCCCTAGTCTAGCTAGGTGGCTTTGTTTTGTTTGACTATTCTAACTGCAGTCTACCTGTGAAGGCAGAAACCGCTTTTAGTAAGTTTCCTTCCTGATCTTAATAAGGCTCAACGAGAACTTTCTTTCTCCTGTCTTTTCCTTCCTACTGGGCACCCTTCCCCTGCACAGCCATGGTGTAGACCACTGACAGCACTACTTTCAAATGGAGTATGATAGCTCAGTTCCTCATTCTGTTCGTTTTCCTTTGCACTGTTGTTCTCTGTATTTTATTATTATTGGTATCCTTGGGGATTAAACCCAGAGCCCTGAAGTGCTCTCTTACTTCTGAGCTACACCTCCAGCCTCTATTATTTATTCCTTTTCTCTGTATATCATCACACATGCTCTTCTAACAAGTATTCTTTATAAGCAATGGGTGAAAATTAGCAGGTTCCTTAGTAACTAAGGAATGGAGAAAGACATGTCCTGATATATAGTACATAGCTCAAGATCCAGT